TCGCGCACTGTTAAAGAATTTGTGTATGTTACATTTAACATAACACATGTCCCAAATGGTCCTTAACATCCTTTAATGGTTCTTATTTTGTATTAAATTAACATAATATAGATATGCTAAATGGTGACATTAATTCTATGTTAATATTTCAACAGAAAATATAATCTTCAATTTTCATTCTTCGAATTTAACACTGTGTAAAATTAACATATCTTTTATGTTAAGAAAATTAAAAATAAAAACTATTTTTGTTTTGTAAGTATTCAAACTCTTAATTAAAATAACATTTTAATTTTAGAAATACATGAATGTTGTGTTACTTTAACATTTTTTAAAATTGCCCTAATAATTTTACATTTTAAATTAGTCAAGGCCAATTAACAGACATATTTAAATATATATATCGAACATTTAATACAAAAATTTCAACCAAGCAAACTTTTCAATAAAAGTACATAAACTTTCCAATCACGATATGTATGTCTGCTCTAATTTCCATCGTAACGGGCGTAATTTCTCGAATGTATCGAAACATAACATTACAGATTCGCGATCGCGTGTGGAATTAGCGCAAGAGCGCTGCGAGATCGACCGACATTTACGATCGGATAAAATCTCGATCCATTCGAGGCGGGCGTGAATTTATATCGCGAATGCGGCCGGGCAAGGAAAAGAGAAGCGGTGAAAAAGCGTCTACATTCTTTCTCTCGCTGGTCGTTCAAAGACCCTCTCTAAGCGTATGCGACTCGTCGTCCCCGCATGATTATGGTTCCATTCATGTGCAACCAGTTCGGCTCGGTTTCTTCTCCGTACCGATTTCAATCTAGCCACCGCCGTCGTGCGTTACATACAGGCGCAGCGTAACGTATAATCGTCGTCATCGTCGTCGTCGTCGTCGTCTTCGTCGTCGTCGTCGTCGTCATCGTGCATACGACTCTACTGGAAACAGGCGGAACAAGAACGTTCACTTTTAACGAGCCGGACTGTACGGCGTGGAATGATCGAGCGTAGAGATCGCATTGCGAAACGAATCGTTTGTCCCTCTTCTCTCTTTCTCTCTAGAAAGAATTCTGCATATGATGATCAACGGTGAATCGCAAGATTTCGAAGAGCAATTTATATATAAACGATCTTACAGTTAACCTCGTTTTGGAGTAACGGCGTATATTTATATAGAAAATAGAAACAAAAAA